ACCGAAAGATTCATTCTACGATCAATTTAGAAATTTTTAGTTTGTTTTTTTTTTGTTGCTGCTCGAAGAGAAAATTGTGCATGTTCCTTTCCGTCCCGAGCAAATTGATTGCTCGCTGCACGTGAGGCGCGGCGGAAAGGAGGGCCACGAGGCGAACGAACCCCACAGGCCAGACGACGACACGGCTGTATCGATTTCGTGCGCCGCGCAGAAACGTCGATGCTCGTAGAGGAAGAAAACCGGAAGAACGAAAAAAAAAAAAAATTTCCCCCTTAAAACGTGAATCCTAGTGCACCTTGTCTGACCTTGTCAGCAGGTGTAAACTCAAAACTAGTTTAGCAATAACTTCTCACCTATTCTAAACAATCTAATTTCTGCATTGATTCAAAATTTCTTAACTTATTTGTCTTAACTGTCATTAACTGTCACTGTCAAATTATTGTAAACGTCACTTGATGAAACTGAAACGTCACTTTATTAGGTTATGTCACCTGAACGTCAAAATACTTGTTATTTAAAAAAAAAATGTAATTGCGTAAGAATCCAGATGAATCATTTCTAATTTTGAACCGTGATCAATAATTATCTGATTTCGTTACATTCGATAGTCTCGAATTTATTATTATTGTGCGGATTTAGATTAGATTACACAATGCCCATGCGGGGGCTAAAAAAACGAAACGCGGTTGCCTGTGTAGGAAACTAATTTGTTAAAACTATTGCAAACAATAGTTTATCTGTGATAAACTAAATGATTATGAAAGTTTATATCTAATTGTGTTTGTTATAATTGCATATAAATATTTACAAATAAATTTCAATTTGTTCAATAATAATCTTAAATTTGTTGTAAGGTTAATCAATTGTTTCAACTGTCAAATCTGACAGATCGGCCATATTTGTAACAAAACTGTTAAAACCATGGTAACGTAAGAATATTCCTGTTACGTAAGTTGTATATGGAATATAAATGATTCAACGCCAACTGCGATAGAATGCATTAAATATTTCATCGGGTTTAAGTGAGGGAGAACCATTAAAATGGGGAATCCAAATTGGAGTGCGTTTTTTTATTTTCGTTTTTTTTTTTAAATTTATGAATGAACAGAACAAAGTATAACACCTAAATGTAGATTAGATAAAAACGTGTGAAAAGAAAATTAAAGTAATTAAATTCGTTTTTAAATGTAATTACATCAGAATTTTCGGGTTTTCGTTTGGGCGTGCCCTCGGGGAGCGGCGGCCCTCAGTTTGCACGCATCGTTTTTGCACACAGACATAGATGGAATTAAAGGATAGATAGACTAATAGCATCGATCGATGTTGTCGTCTTGTTGCTTCCTTTTTTTTTTTTAATTTTCCCTTGTCTACTTGAATACTGGTGTAGTCATCATTATTTCAAAGGGCGGACGCAGAGAGATCGATTTCCGTTTCCTGCGACGATGACTAAAGACCCTTTTTTACTCCTCTACTTGGGGTGAGGTGATTCGCGAAGGGATGAATTTTGTAAAGGAAATCAATGAAAAAAAAATAAACAAACAAAGTATTATGCGGATCTAATTTGCATCGATTACACTTTCTTATTGTACGAACGAAACGTACATTTTAACCTTTTAATCCCATCAGATTGACCGATCAAATTAAATTAATAACGAAAATGTCATTTTTTTTGTAACCTCTAAACGTCATTTGATAAAATTTAAATGTCATTTTTCATCGGCCATTTTTGTTATAACCCTAAAACGTCAAATTATTACGTCATTTGAGAGAACCAAAAACGTCAAATTTGACAGACGTTATTGTCAGATGTTTGCTCTTTTCAAGGTCACCTGTGTCTGCAGATCCAATTGTCAAGTTAAAGTTCAAACGTACGTCTAATAATAAATGGAAAGGCTATTTCAAAGCCAAGTGCGATTCGATGCGAATGTCAGATCGGTCTAATAATAGATGTACACAGTGGGATAGGTATTGGGTTTTCGGTTACCACCTTGACAGAGGTTTCAATTGCAACTTTACTCTCGATGCGATTACCACGAAGTATTACTAGGATTAGTTATGAATGGAAGCAGCAAAACTAAGGCGAAGAGCAAGAAGTAGGAGGAGGAGGCGGAGGAGGTTTTCGTGCCCCCGTTTTTGTTCTTTGTCGCGAAGGTCGAAAGTGGCTGCATGTGGGCATCGCAGA